GTTAAAATACTTTGAGATTTTCGTTGGTGTGGAACTCAGCCGTTTAGCTTGGTGGATAAAGCTTGGTGGCGCTAATCTGGAAGACGTGGGTTCGATTCCCGCAGCGTCGAAAAACTTTTCACCCTTTTCTCTACAAATTTTAATGTTTCAACTTAAGTGTTGAGATTAGCTCTTAAAATTTTTTTTATTAGAAAAGTGTACTTCAAAAGTTATCCATTAAAGTTTTTTCATTAACGTACATTCCTCTCGTAAAATACACATATACTTACATACATTTCAGAATTTTTCTCTTCCATATCGCTAGGTATTGATTGCAAATAATGTTCGGCCGCCAACGTTCGCTGGCGGTTACTGAAAAGGTCAATAAAAACGACAAAAAAAAAAAAAACAAACGAAGCGAAACTTCCAGAGCTTCGTTTTTCCCGCGCTTGACGCCAACATGGCTACCGCAGGCCGTGTTCGCGTCGTTGTGTCGCGTTTTATTTTTGTTGTGCTTTTGTTGCGCCTTTCGCCCGCCGCGGCTTTTGCAGCACTGCACCGGCTCGCTTGTTATTTCACAAATGGCTACCAAAGTAAAAAAGTAATACTTAATTTTTCAAACCTTTACTAATCGACAGTTTCAACACCTACCTTCGCTGCACGGTAGACGTTGTATTTCGGGTAAATATATAGGTATTTATAGCCGTAATATAGACATTTAGAAAAAAGATATACTTATTCCTGTAGATTAATGTTATAATGATTATATGACTATCACATTGTTATTAGTTTAATTACAATCGTCAATTAGGTACGGATTATATCGACTCTAATTTTTAATGTCAACCTCTCAACGTTGCGTATGCTTTGCACCATTCATGGTCACGGGGGGATTGAAGTGTTTTACGTCGCAATGTCACTGTTAACCGATACCTTGAAATTATTATGTGCACTCCCAATTATGATCAGAAGGAGGTATATAATATATTTATTTATTGGTCGAAATTGAGTCTGATCAAATTAAAATCAACGGGCTGAAAGAAGTACGTAAGAAATAGTTAGGTTTCTAAATTGTTTGAAGACTACATTTGTATTAAACATCAATATGATGTTTCATCAAAAAAAGTTCCCTGCTGATCGCCTACTAAAACGGAAATCGTCTTTAAACTATGTAATATAATCTAATATATAACATACACTCTTTATTTTCAAGGTTATATTACGTGCCCCACTTACATTCCTTCGCTCGCACAGGCCATAGCTTCGGCTTTATGCGTTACCTCCAACGCAAAAGTTAACTCCCACTTCATACCGGTATTCTGTAAGATCAGGCTACAAACACAGTCAATGTTGCCAATTTTTCACAGTAAATTTAATAATTCACATGTACATTATAATTGCTTATCGGTGGACACACGGGGTAGGCAGGCGATGCAAGAGCCGGGACGGGGGTTGCAATGGACGCCCCCGCCCCAGGCCCGGAGCAGTTTCCTCTTTGTATCGCGTAAATAACCGGCCCGTTTGTGGCCACAGTTTAGAGAGCGAAGCGTTCGCTAATTAGCCACCGACGGACTCCGACGTTTTCCGCATAATTAAGAGTTTTTAATGGCCCAGCCCCCGCTGCCCACTTCACAATGTTCCCATTCGCCTCTCTCTCCGGGTTTTCCGCTATATTCGTTCACTGCGCTCTATTATTTGCTTTTATTTCAATTAAACATCTGTTTTAATCGTTCAATTATAATTTGCTTTGATACAAGAATTCAAAGTCAACGACGAACGATTTTCATTATGTTTAGTCCTTCCGAGAACTTCCAAGCGTCAATGTTTAGAATTCGTTCACAAATTGAGGACTCGGGTTCTACAAAGTATTAAAATTCATAAGTCAGGGTACATGAAGAAGAAGAACAAGAGTAACTGCCATACATATCGATTCTCAATGCACACACCACAGTTTAATGGGCCGGTTTATTTAGGATTGCCTTGTTGCACTGGACCGTTGTACACTCTTGAAAATATCTAATAATTTCATTGGCAAAGAAGTAATGCGGTCTCTCTGTAGAAGACGTGAAGAAGAAGTGCTCTTTTGCGTCCTGTATCATTGAATTGCTTCTACTAACTGCTTCTTTACCACCTCTTCGTATAAAGAAAACTAATATTTTTAGGAGATTCAATCTGGGAGACTCAATTAGGGAGACCAAAAGTCACCGGCAGAGATATCGGGCTTTATTTATTCGCGTAATTAACATCGGGCCGAATGTATTTTAGCAACTCTATCCGCATTTAACAATGCGCTGTCCGTGCCGTCGTCAGCGCCAGTGGGCCCTATATCTCCGGCACAATGGCGGGCGGCGCCGCGCGGCGGCCATTGTGCTAGCGATTTATTGCCTCCGACCAAGTTACACTGTGGCTCAACGCGTGTTCACGCAAACATCGCACTTAACACAGATGCTTAAACCGGTGGAAACTGTGCCGTTTCACAAAAAAGAGAAGACGTTAATGAATAAGGAAACTACACCAAAGGGGCCGATCGTAAAACCATAAACGAATGAATCGGTGATACATTAGCTGCTGATGCTTGCGAGGAAAACCTATATAAAACATATGGAACCTGAAGTAGGCTAATACTTCAGGTTCCATATGTTTTATATTGAAGTTTATGCAATATTTGTTAATACTTCAAAGTAAATCGTGTTATTTTTAAATTGGTATTCACAAAATTTATTAACTATGTTGTACAACTTGTTTGTGGGAAATACATAAATTAATAAACATAAATAATGTAATAAACATTAACCCTGACCCTTTTACTGGAACAGCTGGGAAATGAAAGCTATTGTAACTTCCAGTCGATCAAAACATCTTTTGAATATCATAATATTTGCCCCACGCCGATCTGTACCGAATTATACCTCTAATCATACGACATATTAATTCAACAGATTCAATTGTACCTATTAAAGAACTGTGCAATGATGGGGAATCAGACAAATATAACAAAAAATAATAATTTATATATAAACAAACTCATCGTGTGATTTCCAAACAAATCTTAAACCTTGAATAGGACGAACTACCACTACTTCAATGGCATTGAGGACGAAAAAATCTCGAAGCCGAAACAGAAAAAACCTCCTTAAGGTTTTTTTATCTACATCAGGCATAATGCGCGGCCGCCTGAGCGAAGGGCAAACAAAAATTTCATTAAAATAATACCCTTTTCAAGTTTATTTGTACAATGCAAGTTCAGTGTGTAGTTTGTTATGAAGGAAATACTGCCCATTTTGAATATCATTATGCGAGGGAGCGAGATACAAATAATGTTTTATTGGATTGGCGAAGCTCCGTTGTACGGAGCGCGGACATCTGCTCTTGTACGGTGCACTGTTTTGTTCGGCCACGTTGTTGTCGGCCCTTTGTCATTGTTAAATGCGGCCTAATACGGTCGGCCCCTCTCATTGGTACCTCTCCTTTTTATTAATACAAATTAGACATTCTGCTCTTTTCTACTAAATATCAGCATATGTCGGTACTGAACACTCATATAAATGGGGCACTCTTACTGCAATTAGCACTATAAGTAATATTGACAAGATCTAAGCCAGCTTATGTACAGTATAATTAATAAAGTAGCTGTAATAAAAAGCTTATTTGAAATGCCTATTTTTTCTTCATTTTATCGTTTTATTTTTTTGCTTCTTCGTAAGGTTTATAAAGCTTTATAGATGTTATGGGAACAAGCCAACGGAAAAATTCAATTAGCTGTTATACTATAGGAAAAGTGATCCTAAAAGACGCCGGGGTGCCTATTTCACTCCATACTTTTATAATCGTTAAATGCTGTTTTTGAAATTGATTCTATATTCCATTGATTTCGATTTGGATTGTGTTACATGACCGATGTTCTCAATCAGCCAAATTTGGTCCACACAGACTACAATTGTGTTAATGCAGCTTTAATGGCGATGATTACGAGTGCCCAGACGGTCCACATTGTAGATATCCTTAATCATATCTTAAATGTTTAAACCTTCAAGCGGAAAGGTTAGTTTTTTAGATGACTTGTAATGAAAATCATTATTTTTCCATTTGAAATGATGTCACATGTGAGATTTATAACATAATCGTAGAGAAAATCATCGAGTTCCGGCGGTTGGGCATTATTCCGCAGCCACCGATCGTAACTCAATGCTCTCCCGCAATGAGCCGTCTGCGGCAGCAGCGCCAATATGACACCAACGGCCGATTGTTGGCCAACGGGCGGCGTGTACCTACGGCACAAGTGCACGCACGATAGCACAATGCCATGTCACCGCCAACCGAACGGTACATAATCGGCCAACACGGTTTCGAGCATTGTTTATAGATTGCGAATGTGCTCTGAATCGATGGATTTAAGGCAATCTTGCACACAACATGAAATATGTACGAGTAGACTTCAGTAGACTTCTATTAAGGAGTAACTAAACTAAAAAGCAATATTTTTATGCAAGGGTTGACAGAATTGTGTTCAATACATCATAATGTATGAAATTATTAAATAAAAAACGGCATTCCACTGTTGACCATAGTAAGATATAATTCAGTTTCGATCATTTAGTGTAGTAAAGGTAAAGTTAAAAATGTATTAAAGTTGTTTAGAAGATAGATAGACAAAAACAATTATTGTGCATCGCTTTACGAAAATAGTAAAGGTGTTTCTACTTACACACACCTTAAATTCTGTTTAACTTTACTTGCTTCGTTCTGCTCCCGAATGCCAATTGAATGCTTTTTTTCTATGTATTTTTAATGCGGCTTACATTGTGTTACTTATATTGCAGACACCATAAAAAATTGTACCTACTATGTATACATATATGTAACACAGTGTAGAATATTGACTTTGATATTAATATGAGCTATATCGGTTGATTACTAAGATAATATACGTCTAAGCGAAAAAAGTCTCCTAAATAATGATTCAGAATAAAAAAAAACAACAGCTTCACCAGCCCGCTACAGTGAAATCGATTTCGTTCGAAATGAAAACATCTCGTTGGGTCGTGGAACACACTTTGGCTCCATTTGTCGGAATCGATGCACACGCGAGTTCGCGGGAGCAATCGGGCAGGCCCTCCGGTGGAGCCTGGAGCCGGAGGGGCGGGGGAGGGGCCGGGGGAGAGGTTAAAACAACAATAAGTCGGGCCATTAAATTCTCACAAGCGACTGAAAACGCCGCGCTTTCTAATTGCTGCGAACACAATGGCCGCGCGCGGTAGGGTTGCCCCAAGGTGTTTTTGGAAATTAAATACTCACTTTTGTTTGTCACAATGTATTTGTACCTTTTTATGTAAGATTATTTTAGATATAAATTTGTTAGAGATGTCGTGGACATTAATTACTTTTACAAGTTACCCAAAAAGCCTCCTTCCGTAGTCTGTCCTCGCTACCATGAAGATAATCTGAATTCAACGCTGAATTATATTCAATTTAGTGTATTCAATGGTCATCATACAATATGATGAAGTACGATGTTTAAGAGAAGACTGGTGTAGGAATGTCGTTAAGTCACAGAGATTGTAATTAGGTCCAATTTCAAGGGAAACGCGTCTTCGGAAACTGTTATTAGGGCAGTTTGTGTTATGCAACATTTTATGCTGTTCGGTAAATTTCTCGAATCATCGGTTCATGAATTTTCATTATTGGTATTATATTATATTCATTGTTATATCATATGGTTCATTCAAAAGTGGTTATTAATTTGCAAAAAAATTATTAGTTTGTTCGGATCAAACCCGCCCACACAAATATTCCAATAAAATATATAGTTTTCATTTATACGAACTTATATTTAAAGATCAACTAGAGGTAGTCATCCTGCGAATTTATAAACGCTTGTCAGCGCTAAGGTAACTTTCTCACCTTTCATCTTGGTTGCCATCGGTTATTTCCTTATCTAAAGCTTTTCCCAAGGCATAGGCATCAGAGTAAGCAACACCACCGATTCTTCTCTTTAACTGATGAAAGCAACCATAATCACACGGACCTAAGTCAGGGAAATACGGTGGTTGAATCCAACGCTCAATCTTATGTTGATTCTTAAATATTTCGCAATAAACATTCAAGACCGGGCGGGTTTGATCCGAACAACCTAATAAAAAAAGAAATAATCAATGGATATCTTTTGCGTTTAACTGTGATTTTAATTCGCGATTTACCGATTGGTGTGCAATAGGCCACTGTACTACGAGTAGTTGGCATCACTGGTAGTTCAATTGAATATGTTCATACTAACCTCATTTGAAGGATTAGTAAAAATACCATGGTCCAACACATTTGCGACAGTTTCTTCTTTTCGAAAGAATTCTTTTCGTCGGATTATAGAATCGTAGAAAGCTCTAATGAACAATTTGTTTAGTATAAAGATTAATTAAATGCCTTTAACATAAAGCCGCATTGATTTAGACTGTCCTAATACAGTATTCAAAACTGTTATTTTTTGATCTTCGGAAGAAAGTGGGTCTTTGTAATACAATATATCTTTCATTTAGCGCTTTATGTACGGTTATCGGTTGTTTTCATTAATATTGAATGTAGTGAAACGTAGGGCTGAGTTAAGTATTTTAGAGTTCACAAAGCATGTAGTGTCGCAATTTTCCTGATGCTTAGGCACAATTTTTTTACATGATTATTTAAAGTACCTAACCTTAACAAAAAAAAAAAATCTCAAAATGATTTTTAATACCTCGGTTTTACAGAGTTACCTACAAAAGAAAAGTTATGTAGGTTAAAATATTCCATAAAAATTCCAAATTGTTCAACATAAACATTCCAAATTGTTAATAGATGACATTATCATAAATTCTTTATAAGAAATTTTTAAAGCAATTTTTTTTATCGAAAATATTAACTTTATTATACTTGTCTTTTTCGTCAGTTCGTCAATAGCAGCAAACACGAGCCTCATCACGGTGTAGTTTAGTGTTTGAATCATAAAATTGGATGAAAAATTATGGAAGTTAAGGTGTTGTGACAAAACACTTTTGGGAAATGGTATCTAGAGATGTTGTTGTGACATATTTTCCAAAATAACGGCAACTTTTATTTATTAAATTCATTACTATCTACTTTGTAAGATTTCTATTCGTCGGACTCTTAAAAAATTATTTATGTCGTTGATTTATTACTGCTTTCAAAAATATGCTGTCAATAAAAATATCCATATACCTACTAGCTTTATAAATAGTTTCCTTAATTATTATTATTAACATTATGAGTCATCTATAATAATAGGTTGTAGAGTTTTTAAATTAACTTTGTAGTGGGAATATCTCAATTAGAATTATTTTTTGTATTAGTCAAAAATTGTTATATTATGCGTTAAACTTACTTATACAATATGAAGTGTGCCGCGCTTACCAACTCTTTTTTTATGTGGGAAAGTGGCAAACGAGCTGGTGGTTCACCTGATGTTAAGTGATAACCGCCGCCCACGGACATTTGCAGATGTTTTAATAATGTGGGCCCCGGCTACCTCACTCACCAGACGAAACGCAGAAGTGTAACACTTCCACTTCACACCGGTCTTCTGTGAGGTAGTAATACTAACCCGGACGGACCTGTCCATTCGTCTAACAGCGAATACTGTAGCGTGGTCTTACCACAGTCTAACCTGTTTCTCCATTGTTGGCAGTTCAGAAACGGGCGCGCATTTCCGAGGCGTCCAGCCCGTCGCCGAGGACCGAGGGCTCCCAGGAGCAGAAGAGCCCCACGTGCTCGCCGCCCCCCTCCACGCCGCCGCCGCCCTCCCCCTCCGACCACGACCTCAACGTGGAGGAGGAGCTCGAGGAGCACGAGCCCTCCCTCACGCCCGAGAACCTCTCCATGAAGGAGAGGGACGACGTGAAGAGGGAGGACGACAAATGGGAGAGCCCCGACTTGAAGTACAAGTACAGGCAGAGGAGCGCCGCCGAAAACGTCGCCGAGGAGCCGGCGCCCCTGCACAAGTCGCCCGTGGACGTCCTCATGAAGGTGTTCCCCCGCCGCGGCCGCCACGAGATCGAGGCCATCCTGGCGCGCTGCAAAGGGGACGTGGTGGCCGCCATGGAGGCGATGGTCAACGGCCAGGACGGCGCGTACACGAGCCCCGACTCCCCCTACTTGCAGTACCAGTCCAAGTCGGCCTTCTCGCCGCTGACCCACCAGAGCTTCAAGTTCTCGCCGTCGCGCCGCTTCCTCACGCCGCCGTACAGCGGCACGGGCTACCTGCCCACCGTGATTCGGCCCCCGCCCGACTACCTGCCGCCCTTCCTGCCCCCCGCCGAGATGATGTACGGCCGCCAGATGCAGCTGCCCTCGCCCGGCACCTCCCCCACCTCCCCCACCTCCCCCACCTCCGACAACACCAACAACGAGGGCTTCTCCGACTAGTGCCCGCTCGCCCACTGGACTGTGTTGTAACTCTCGGGGGGTTCCCCTTCCGCGTGCCGTGAACAAGAGTTGGTTGTTCATATGGTTCCACAAGGCGGGACTCGTTGACCTTTGTAATAGTTTAATTATGGTATTGAATATACATATTATATATCTATTTTTACTAAATGGCCGAAAGCAACACGTCGAAGAAAGTTCTGAGTGACTTTAACTTTAAGGATTGCACCAGGTCTCAGCCAAGAATTGGATATTTGCTTGAACTGGCATGAGCAGACGGTGACTTAGGTTCGTTTTGTTTTTACGTTCTGTTTGAATTTGCTTTAAGATCTCGCCATTTCCTGAAATCTGAGAATTACTGGCACAACAGTTGTAGCTATACGACAAGGTGAAATGAAGGACGATCGGCCTCTCAACTAATATAATAATCAGTAGTGTAGATATAAAGAGTACTATAGTTTCGTGTACTTTGAAAGAAAGCACATACCATAAACAAACTGACCATTGGTAAAGCTGCCATCACAGGAGATAAAGTATTGCCTCGTCTTATAACGACAAATAATAACTATTATATCGTATGGCGGTCAAGTTCGAGTTTCAAATAACAACTGGACCGGTGTGTAGTGATTTACCAGAAAATCACTCTTATGTGGATGAAGATGTAAAAACAATAAAAAAGTATATTAACGTGTAGACTAGTGATATTATGTAATAGTTACAACCTAGTTTAGGAACAAATGTACATAAACTGCTATAATTATTTTAGTTAGCTCCAGCGATAGCTAAGCTTTATAAGTAAAGCTATGGACTCATTCCTTATTTTAGATATATTTAGCCAAGTTTCTCTATGAAGTTCTAGAATTAGAAATAACAAAAAAGTTTGGATGTAAAAAGACTTTTACATGAATGCCGTTTTACGGTTGGTTCATATAAAGAGTTCTGCATAATATCCATAGTGTTAATGAAAGAAATGATTCTGTCTTGAGTTTGTGATCATTTTGAATACTTGTATAACATATACTTATTGGAAAGTGCTCATAGATATTAAATAGTTAAAGAAGAGTTGATTTTAAGGTGTAGGTTAAGTCGATCGAAAGACTTCTGGGTCGATATAAATTCCGGCCGCCGAGGCGTCGGATCTAGTGTTCAATAGCAAGTAAAACTAATGGCAACCGACCGATAGAAGTAGAGAGCGTGTAAATATTAAAGCGATAGCCGAGTACGGGCTAGGGCGGTCTATTGGAAATGTACGTACGCATGGAACGCGGTCAATAAACGCAAGTACCGAAGGAGACATGACCTTTTATTTATACACCATAACCCCTCTACATAAATAAAAGCCTTACATTGATCTTTCAAAACACAATAGAATTTTGATAAACACTCCTTTTATACTATATAGATCATGATTTTTTATTTCAATTCTCTTCAAGAGTAATATGAAATGCTTCAACTATTTTCAAATTGGCCTCTAAAGCCAATCATTTGGAATACTAACAAACACACAGTCTCATCTTTTTGAATGAAAATACAATTTATAGGTGAGTAGCTAAAAATTCCATCGGAATTAAAAGAAAATCGGGGCTGACTTCGGGGACTGCCGATAGAAGAAAAACTAAATAAGTAAACAATAATTTATTGATAAATAAAATAATTATTATGTTATAATAATTTTTAATAACTACTTTTATGTAAAAAATTATTTATATGTCTGCGGGATGGCAAATCATATAATGTTGCGCGGAAAGTAACTTTTGACTTGTGTCTTTTCATGAAGGTTATTACGGCTATCAGGGCTAGGACAGCCTTCACGGGACAAAGTGCTTATAGAAAAGCCCCTGATCAAAATATGCTCATCACTTGTGCCTGAAGCCTACTAGACAAAGCCATTCTCAGTATTGGAGGCAGCAGATGGTACAGGTATCCAGGGGGACCCCCAAATTTGGGCAAAAATAAAATACCAAGTTAAAATACCAAGATAGGTTTAGTGTATCCAATTGATCCAAGTACGTCTAAAAAAATTTGGTATATTTTTTGATGACCGTTACCCAGGTCCGGTCAGTAATTGTAAGTGCTTAAAATCTTCTAAATAACTTTCTACATATGCCAAAAAGACTTTGATTCAAATTATCCAAGAGATTTTCTGCAAATGAGCAACTGTTTTATTGTGTTATAGGCGGTGCTCCTCACAAATTTAGCAACGATTACTCTAGCTATTTCTTGTTAACCGTCAGATTTTTTGGGTTCATACCTTAAAAGGTAAAAATGGGAAACCTTATAAGATCACTCTCTTGTCCGTCTAGGACTATATGTCCGTGTAAGTTGATACCTGAATTTTCAACATTTTATTTTTCGAAATTTTCCCTTAACTTATGCTTTAAGACCTTGCTTTTAACCAAAATTGACAATTCTAATTGTTTTTTCTTGTTCCAATTTTAACTGGATCTAGAGGTCAACCTATAGATTATAGATTTTTCTAAATGGCTCGACATAAAAGGCCAAAATAATATAATATTATAATATATTTTATTGCGAAATTTAGGTTAGGCATAAGATGTACAGAACAATACTTTTTACATATACATTATGTTTTAATAGAAATAATGTCTATTAAAACATATTTATATGTAAAAAGTTTATATCAAACATTAACAATTGATCAAAAAGCAATTGTCAAATAATTAATGACAAGAGTAAAAAAGTTTGATAAATTGCACACTTTAATATTAATTCAGAGAATAACTATGGACACAGAAATTCATTATTTATTTGAGAAAAAAATCATTTATACTGCGAACTACCATGATCTGACAGAAGACCGGCATGTAAATGAAAAAAATAAATGTTTCAATTGCCACGACAAATCTACAGCTGCTCAATATAGGGCGAAAGAAATTCAGAAAGTTTAATAAAAAAGAACAGTTTTAGCAATGGGACATGACTAAAGGAACACGCTCAAATTCAAGTAAAGTAACAGCCTATAAATGTTCCACTGCTGAGCAAAGGCACCCTTCCTCTTTACAGAGGGTATCAGGACATGGTCCACCACGCGGCCCCACTGCGGAATGGCGGACTTCACATATCTTCCTAATATTTTTTCTTTGTTATTTTATCGAACTAAAAATAAACAGGATTCCTCACACATGTTCCTTCACCGCATGTTGAATAGTCGTTGCTAATTACCGACACGGATATGGACCAGAGACAATCGAATCAAAATCGTAACTAAACTGGTCTACCCCTTAACGTCCGACGAGACGTCACGCGCGGAGCAACAAAGGGTGGACATGACGTCACTCGATGTCATGAAGCTCTCATGCTGTCGCCGGGGTGCATGACGCCACAATGTGGCGCGAGTGACAAGCCATCACGGGCGATATACGGCAAGCTGGTCACTCGATTGGATGCTCCAATGGCGTACGAGCTTTGAGATCATGTCTAAAGTTTTTAATCTTCTCTCGGAAGGACAAACACAGATATGTTCAAGTAAAAATTTACTCACTCTGGACTGATAAAAATTTATTTCAAGTGAAACTTCCGAAACGGTAAATCGAGCTTGCCTAAATGCAAATCTAATCGGAAACATTGCTAGACTAGCTGAGGTAGGGCTACGAAACTGCCTTCATTGATGCACGAATGGGCAGGTCCGTCCGGGGAATTACGAAGACCTCACAGAAGACGGAACTATAACATGTCTGCGTTTCGTATGGTGAGTGAGGAAAGCGGGGCATATTTTATTAAAAGGTGGCAACACATCTGCAGCCCTATAGTTGTGTTGCAAATGTCAATGGGCCGCGGGTATCACTTATATGGTATAAGGTGAACCGCTTGTTCAGTTGTCACACGTGGTGGTGGCATCATTGCACCAGCGTTGCACGTCTGTACCTCGTAATTGGATAATTAAGGTCATCGTGCTTGTTTTTGGCCACCACTTAGTACGTTATTAGCTTTAATACTGTTGTAGTACGAACAGCATCGGTTTAGTAGTACATAAGCTTCCCCTATGTATTTAAGTTAACGCGCCTACTTGCGCGATGCTTTAAGGAAGATAAATAATTAACTGTCAAAGCAAAATGACAACCTTACGATAAGCCCACATTGCAATATTGTGTGTGAACTTTGACAAGTTCATATCAAAGAAACTAATTACACACTAATTAATGTTTTTTTTTCTATAACTAATTTTGTACAACCTTTGTATTATTCTAAGTAGTACAGTTATATTAACATGGTATTGTCACATTCGATGCATAAACTATAAACTGGTACTGGTTAACAAAAAGCAGTTCGATTCATATTTCTTTTGTTGACTTGTTTTTTTTATTTGATTTATCGAATATAAGATTTGTTGTGAAAAGTGTCTGCATAAGTATTCTATTAATATTAATAATTATAGAGTTCATATTGGCCAAATTCGACTGAATATGCGGCTTGGTCTATGATAAACGTAATAATACCTGTTAAATCTCGAGCTACGTGTTAGCTGTTTGTCTAATCTCATAGCTCACCGTTATACCTAGATGAGGGCAACAAACGGCCCTCAATGGACCCGTGTCTGCATGCACGGACGCACGTTAGGACACACCGATGTCTAGACGCCGCTCAGGCCTAGAGGCTAGATAAAGCGCCCCACAGTCAACCCTCCTCCGTCAATATTGCTTTGTCTCCGAAGGAGAGTTTCGGCGGTAATTGGGATCGCTCGATTGAGTCTTTGTGCATCATCTGCAATTCCGATATCAAATAGTATGATCTTAGCAAATGATTGTCGCTATTGGAATGCGATATTGAAGGTATGGATTGATGATAATTTGAGAAACGGAATCAATTTTTTCATTTTCTTTAAGTTTTTATTAAGCTTTTAGAATATGCTGTATTCACTATTTGAGGCAAACGAAATGGACAAATTTCAGTATTTTACAGTGAGTTGCATTGTCTGATTTGTGAACTAGTAATAGATTTATTTTACGGATTTCATCGTGCCTTATTTTTGTTTCAATTCC